TTAGTGGATGCTGCAGATAACGTGTCTCACAGATCTGGTCTGAGTTGTGGTCGCATTTAACGATGTAAAAATCGCTAAAACCAAGCCAGCAATAGACAGCAGTGAAAAAATCACAATGGGAAATCACGTACATTGACGATCGAAGCAGGAGAGGCATATCGCAATTAATCCTCATATTTTCCCTGTACCTTCTCTGTTCACCAAAAATCTGGTTCCTGTCTTGGATCATGGTATAGGGGGAAAAATACGTTGGTGGATTACAGGCAGAATCGGTCAGTTCGTTTCTGGAAGCAAATGGGGCTTGCACTTGATAAATTAAGGGCTGGATTTTCATGTTTCGTCATCATCAACTTTTCCCCTCCCAAGATTTACACCCTCGAAGCCTTCAACTAAACAAATCATTTCCGCCGACGGACGAGAAAATGTAATTTCACATGGATGATCAGCAGACCTCAGATTTGTAAGGATGTCTGGATGGTAGCTGAAGCTTTTGACGATTTAATACATACCGAAGTTAACAAACATGTATTCTAAGTAAATAATTTGTGAAGAAATTAAAACCGAATTAAAGACCATATTAGATTTTTTTATCTTTTGTTTTCTGACGATATGCTTACTACTAGCTTTCGAACAATTTCATTTTCCGTCACGAATTTGAACCGAATTTTATTCTTAACTAAGTATTTTCGGAGCAGTTGTACCCTGCCACGGTCAGTCTGCAGTTGATGCACACTAATTTTTAAATCAGTCATTTTTCTTGTGCAATATCTTACGAATATTCTTCAGCATTATAATTATTTTAGATTAAACTTTTTATTTTTTTGGCTCTAGTAAATAACATTAAAGCACATTACCAGAGGAAAATGGAAAAATTTACCTACAAAAGATGGAAAATTAACCAAAGTAGCCTAGAATTCCTGGACTCGTCTAAACGCAGTAGTCTGAAATGTCAAACGTCTCCATGCCCCTAACCCGTGGGGGGCTTTTGGTCCCCCTAGCGTGCAACTTCCAGAGAAACTAAAACAGGACTTGCCGTTCAACAAGGAAAATAAATAAACATTGACTACAACTTTTCAAGGTCTTCTCTCTAACAAATCAAAAGTTCAAAACTTTGCAGGAAAACCACTTGCCTGCCTGTGTCGTGGACTCCTTTGCCTCGTGGTTCGAGCCCTTCTCTCGCCCTGTACGTGCGACATTGACTCAGTCCTCCCAAGACGGGATTAAGTAACGTTTCTTATGCAGACTAAGAAATATTTATCTACTCTTCTTATGAGACAAGGCTTTTAAATTTTAAAGTATTCGCTGTGACTGAGAGAACTGTCCTCTCCTGACCCCTTCCCCCCACCCCCACCCATCACCCCTCCTGCCAAACACCCGCATACACGTACACGCTGTATTCCCGCTTGCGCATTGCAAACAGAGGTATGTGCCTCTTGGGTATGTGCCAAAGCTCGTATTTTTGTGATTGACGGTATATTTTGTATAAGTGCGTCTTCGTAGTCTATTGTCTCCCTATACGGAAATAAATTAGTATTTTTTGTTTGTGTACGTGCTTCTCCAAACAGAGACTTAAACTTTATTTACTTTATCCTACGCACCCTGCAAGTAGAAGCAGAAGTCCCATTTCTGGAAAAAGACGAGTCTCCTCCCGTGAAGCGGCATTGCAAGTTCTTTTATACTGATTTTACCAGTCCCATACCAGAAGAATTCTCAGGTAGCTTTTCTGTTGCTTTGTTTTGTTGGTGGAACTCAGGTAGGAAGTCAATGGCTGGGTTTTGAGCCCTATGAGGACCGTCCTGAAAAAAATTCAAAGGTAAGGTTCTGTGATTAAGAATCCTTCCAGAACTGCTAAAACGAATTTGTATTTTCCTTTTTTACTATAGCTAGTACACAATCAAGACTCTTTTTGGGCGATGTTCCGTTACTTAGTAAAAAGTTGTTATTCGGGCGTAGAATTACAAAACGTTTGTCCCTCTAATTCACAATTCACTTCGAAGCAAACTTGGACATGCCAAGCATCATAGAACAAACACTCAGTCTCAAATTGCATTTTAAAAGATGTGTACTACCATTAAACAGGATTATTTTTTGTAAAAAAATGTCTACTCGTATCTAGCTTGAGTACTGCGTGAACTTAGCATGTGTACAGCCGCCCTCTCCTCTCTCCTCAAAAAAATACACAGGCTACGTGCACTATGTCGCTCTCAGTTTATTTTCCCCTTGCCTGATTCAACAACCTTTGACACCTTCGGTTGAGTAATTTAGTCTGACTGATTAGGCTCTTGCATTGCGTCATTTTTGTGGCCAGTGTGCGGTAGACTAAAAAATTATTGGAATTTGTTACTTCCCTGTACGTGAAACTGAAATTCACACTTAAAAGTCGAATTTGGGTCGAAAACCTCAATGAATTCCGGAGACACCTGGTGTATCTTGCTAAGTGGAGCATACCCTTTATCGCATACAATATACCGTAAAGTTCCGAAAGTAACGACCCATTGAAAGTAGAGACCCTCCAAAGTAGCGACCCTTCGAGAGAAGCGACCCCTCGAAAATAACGACACGTCGAAAGTTGCGACATTAAAAAGGATTTCCCTTTTTGCAAGAATTAACAGAAATGATTCATATAGAAAGTTACGTTTAGTCTTAATGATTCATAAAATCCTGCAACGACTGAACCCAACAGTTTACAGTAAGATGTAATATTACTGGTATTAATGGGAACTGACTGTTGCTAACGTAGCTTATTCAAAGATTCAAAGACTGATTCTTTCGAATTGTTATTTCAAAAATAACATGTTACAATTTCTCCAAAAAAAGAGTATGTATGTGCTCACACTTTGTCGCGATTACATTAGCGTAACTTCGAACGGTCCATGTACGTTCCCAGGGGGGAGGGGGATGTATCCCATTAAAGTCTACTTTGGGGCCATATTAAAGACCCCGCCTTCGTCTCTTTGGGAAAAAAAACCGTTTTCGCCATACCAACTTACTTTCTGTTTATGCATCTACGTTGTAAAGCCTTTTAACTTGGCCATCCTGAAATGAACTGGCACCTTTGTTAAAGGGGCACAGTCATTACATGCGCATTCTCATTGAGTTAGTCATAATTACACGGTCCGCCAGATTGAATTTTGAAAGTCTCAACAAAAATTTCTTAAAGTTACTGCGTTTTCACGTTTTTTACATCTTTTGAGTACTCAAGGGGAAACTACTGACAATAACAAGTCAGTCTTTCGCCCTTTTAATGTNGTAAGATGTAATATTACTGGTATTAATGGGAACTGACTGTTGCTAACGTAGCTTATTCAAAGATTCAAAGACTGATTCTTTCGAATTGTTATTTCAAAAATAACATGTTACAATTTCTCCAAAAAAAGAGTATGTATGTGCTCACACTTTGTCGCGATTACATTAGCGTAACTTCGAACGGTCCATGTACGTTCCCAGGGGGGAGGGGGATGTATCCCATTAAAGTCTACTTTGGGGCCATATTAAAGACCCCGCCTTCGTCTCTTTGGGAAAAAAAACCGTTTTCGCCATACCAACTTACTTTCTGTTTATGCATCTACGTTGTAAAGCCTTTTAACTTGGCCATCCTGAAATGAACTGGCACCTTTGTTAAAGGGGCACAGTCATTACATGCGCATTCTCATTGAGTTAGTCATAATTACACGGTCCGCCAGATTGAATTTTGAAAGTCTCAACAAAAATTTCTTAAAGTTACTGCGTTTTCACGTTTTTTACATCTTTTGAGTACTCAAGGGGAAACTACTGACAATAACAAGTCAGTCTTTCGCCCTTTTAATGTGGTGTAAATCTTTCTATTCTTAAATCCTTACATACCCCAAATCCATTCCATTCTAGTGACTCTTATAAAAATGCAACCCGAATCGCCATAATAGCCAATCCACCATAGCCTGTTCCAGGCTCCAAGAGAGTCGGGCCCGCTGAATTGAGAAAGCGCGAAGACGAAAAAAATGACTTCTTTTTCCTGTGCCCAAAACTGCAAGAACTTTTGTCAAAAGAACTGGTAAGACTTAAGCTAATTTATTCATTCAATATCTTCTTATGAAATTGTAGACTTTAAATGACATCTATGTGAAAACGAATGCCTTCATACCCCGGGCATGTCTTGACTACCTTCAACATGGTGTGACGAGCAACGGCTATTACTGGCTTTTTGACAATAACGATAAGCGCTTTATGACTTACTGCGACCTCTCATCGGAACCGAATGCAGCTTGGACACTGGTGATGTCATGGAACCTATAGGATCAAAGAATTTACCAAGTTTTAAAACGAAGGCTTTTTCACAAGATGCACCAATCAATCAAAACAATCCAAACTGGGATGCGTACCGCCAGACTCTTGCTCGAATGAAAAGTGTCCGAAGCCATTCAACTCACTGGCGTGCAACATGCAGTTTCAATCGACCGGATTTCCAAAACCTCCGGAAATCGATCTACTACAGAGATTACTTGAGAGGCAAGTTCAGTAGTTTCGACATCATGAATTTTGTTGGTTCAGGCCAGTGCAAACCAGTAGAGTATGTGAACATCCGTGGACACGTGGCTGGAGGTGCCGGTGCCACAGCTAAGTTTTGGCAGGCATCTAACACTTGGATCATTCACATCGATAGCGGTGCCACTGGCTNTAGCCTGTTCCAGGCTCCAAGAGAGTCGGGCCCGCTGAATTGAGAAAGCGCGAAGACGAAAAAAATGACTTCTTTTTCCTGTGCCCAAAACTGCAAGAACTTTTGTCAAAAGAACTGGTAAGACTTAAGCTAATTTATTCATTCAATATCTTCTTATGAAATTGTAGACTTTAAATGACATCTATGTGAAAACGAATGCCTTCATACCCCGGGCATGTCTTGACTACCTTCAACATGGTGTGACGAGCAACGGCTATTACTGGCTTTTTGACAATAACGATAAGCGCTTTATGACTTACTGCGACCTCTCATCGGAACCGAATGCAGCTTGGACACTGGTGATGTCATGGAACCTATAGGATCAAAGAATTTACCAAGTTTTAAAACGAAGGCTTTTTCACAAGATGCACCAATCAATCAAAACAATCCAAACTGGGATGCGTACCGCCAGACTCTTGCTCGAATGAAAAGTGTCCGAAGCCATTCAACTCACTGGCGTGCAACATGCAGTTTCAATCGACCGGATTTCCAAAACCTCCGGAAATCGATCTACTACAGAGATTACTTGAGAGGCAAGTTCAGTAGTTTCGACATCATGAATTTTGTTGGTTCAGGCCAGTGCAAACCAGTAGAGTATGTGAACATCCGTGGACACGTGGCTGGAGGTGCCGGTGCCACAGCTAAGTTTTGGCAGGCATCTAACACTTGGATCATTCACATCGATAGCGGTGCCACTGGCTGTACTTTCGTACCTGTTGTAGGGGCTGTATCAAGTGAAGACAACTTTGGTTTCTACGACAAAGTCAACAACAGATTCCGATGTATCGCAGCAGCCGCAGGAACCGAGGCGACGACCCAATGGTGGTTTGGCGGATACATGTCTAATCTAGTGAATCAATGGCAATGTTCAATCTCGTAATCAGTTAAAAATAGCTTTTTATGCCTTGCTTAAGACTAGATTGCTGTGAAAATTTAAATCACTTAAATCTTCGTTGATTTAACTGTCGTGATTACTTGATTTTAGTTTGACCTCTCAATAATTTGGAAAAAAACAATTGGAGTTTGTCGGTTCTTTTCTGTAATGGGGGCTAATGGCGGTCTCAGGAAGCTTTTGAGTTAGTTTTTCTGGTAGAGAAGTGATTCACTTACATTTTTCAAATAATTGGCAGTCTGACCAATGGCTAGAGGAAATTGAGAATGAACAAATGAATAGAATAAGTTGGTGGGGTATGATCGTCGGGGTGAGCGTAGTCCTGCCAATAGAAAATTTGTTGACAGTGACTCCTAGGTTCAAAGTTTTCACAAATGAATAGAATGTAAGACAATAAAAACGCGAGCAATGAAAGAGCAATGCGGGTTAAAATGTACTTAACAAAGATGTACTTAACAAAGCATTTGAATGGTTCTTTATTTACTTAACACTCCCACGCGCCCCCCACCCTTTCAAGGCTTCCTTAACTCAGGCTTAGAAGGAAAAAATGACTTGCTACGCCCCTGCGTGGTATAGGTATAAGCCTGTTCACACTTAAGATTTTGTTCAAAGTTTGAAGATACAATGTCGGCCTGACCTTTCGTGGTAGATTTCCAGGAAATGTTGCTTCTATCTTTGTTCAACGGTTTTCAGCTTGTTCCTCGTGTTTTCGACCAAATTCATGCAGTTGATATTTATTACGTGAGATTAAGGTATTTGAAATGGTCAGTGGTGTGGAACTTGAACTGTCTCCTGATTTTCTGATGTTTGTTGAGATGAATCGTTTTTATGTGACTTCTGCAGGTTTCCACATGTTGTACAAGTTTCCACATTTTTCGACCTTCAACAAGAGGGTGGATGGGCACAGGGTCCAGAGGAGATGTGTTTGTCGTTAGAACGTCAAAATCCGTCGAAAACCTCTGAAAAAATGGGTTATTTTGATCGCGTTACAGTTTCGTTACACATTCTATAGACCGCAAACCAAGAGACCGAGGGCTCGCAAGATCGGCTTACGGTATAAGTCACGTGGTACAAGTTTCCTCCCTTGCCCATTTTTTTACTCGACACTTCGTGCGTCGGTCGCCCTTCGGGCGACGTGCTGTGCGCCAGCGAGGATATGGCTTGCGGTTATTGATTTTCAAAATGGCGAACAACAAAGATGAGAAGCGAAGAAATCGTTTACAGTAGATTCATAAAGATCCCATTGGGCTAATTAATCGTGCTGAGCGACAGGCATAGACATTTTTCAAGGTGAGACTTGAAATAAGTAATTCATTTATTCACACGAAACTCGTCTGGGCCCTGTGGGATGGGTAGCAAGAAATGGTGAATAATCTGAGTTCTGGCAACAGAGTAACCATTTTAAACGCAGCATCAACAGAGGAAATCGCGCGCGACGCAATCATAAGAGGAAATTAAATTGAGATGTTTACAGTAAACGAGACCCTCGTATTAAATTAAACAATTAAAACAGAAAATTACAATGAAAATAGTAACAAGTGAGAATATTCAACATGACTGTAAGGAGTTTGTTACAGAAACTTGTTAATAAGGCTGAAAACCTTTAGTACTGATTTGTTGGGCAAGATAAAAAGTAATCTGATCAATAAACATGCGTTCCGGGTACTACTATCATGCTGGAATACACATAACAGAATTTCTAAGCCAGTCAATCATCTTTAATACGGACACCAAAGGGATAGCGCGGTGCATACGGCAGGACTTTTTCACGGGTGCGGGGTGGCTGTATTGAGTTGAATTGTCCGTAGTTTTTTGTTGTTTTTTTAATTGGCTTATTATCCCTATTAATTATTAGTATTACTTGTAATTTTGTAATATATAGAGTGTTTTCACCCACGTGGCCAGCATCTATGCGAATTCATTGGAACAAAAGAATGTGTTTGCGTAAGAAAAGAGTTCAACTCCCAAAGGATTAGTTTGGGACACCAACATGGCCGCCGTTTCATTGTTTTGGGACACCAATATGGCCGCCGTGACGTCATGTGAAAACACTCTATAGTAATGCAAATAAAGCTGTAAAAAAAAAGCTTGTTGTTGTTGTACTGTGAAACTGTTCGTAGTCAGTTCGATCCAACTGGATACAACCTCAGCAGCAACTTTATTACTTTGAAGAATTATACAAATATGCAAGAGAAATTAAGAGTGGATTTTCACTTTGGTGCCCAATTATTATTTAACGTGAGCAAAGAAAAAAGGGAAGATGTATGAAAGGTCGTGAGTAAACGCAAAAGGTTTGCCTCGCAAATTTTAAAAGGATTGATATGGGGATCCACTGGCTCTGAAAAGCTAAAAATACGCACACTTAAAGCCTAGTATATCCTTTGATGAACCTCCTATTGCTGTGTCTAAATTACTCAATGCTGCTGTGCACCTGCCGATAAGAAAGTGTGACCGCTCGATAAGAATATATGCTCAGAAATTTTGCTGAACGATAGAAAGGAATCTTTAAAATTCTTTACCCCACTGGACCTTTCATTCCAAAAAAGTACAAAAGTCTGGTTTTCTATGACAATAGGGATCATCATATCGCCAAATCCAAGAATGCATATTTCCCTGATAAATTCGAAATTTTTATCCGTCTCTTCGATGAACACTTTGCTCGCTATTTTGAAAGTCACTGACGCGAGACGTGATACAGCCAGGAGGACTGAACCACTGATTTCCTTGGAGACACCCCCCCCCGCGCCCTTCACCCCCCCCTCTCATCCATCGAGCACCTAACCGCACCGTTTCTAGACCGATGAGTCCACTTTTTATATACGCCACAACCTCCATTCAAATAGCCCCAGCCCATACCTTCATCCCCGTGCCTGTCCTATCCCATTCCTTTCTGCCCCCNAGCCACCCCATGTAGGCCATTATAGGGAGTACCCCCTGGAGGTTCAAGGAAGCTGATACAGTAAGTTTTTTTTCAACAAAACATTATTATCAAAACCGATGCATAAAAGTGCATTATGACAGGTAATAAGGTTTTACGAGTACGGATTTTATTTTGAAAGTCACAACCATGATGACATGATGTGAACCTGAAAAAAAACAGCATCGTCCACAACGTAGCGCCTTTCCAGTAGGTTTTCGTGGGACACAAATTGAGGAAAGCCATACCCACGGTTTTCATCATTCACCGGCTTCCCAAAGAATTCAGGATCATTGAGTGGCCTGAAGGACGTAACAATGTCCTTCCTGTTGTTTGCATTTTCTTGTTGATCAATCAGCGTAACCTGCACCTTTTTCTGGAAAGGCCAGGTTAAAAATGCATCGTTTTTACCTTTCATTATTATTATGTATATCGACAGGTGAGTGTGTTTTCCACTTTTCCAGCCGTTTGGATTCAGTTCTACCTTGAATTTATATCCACAAGCGTAAAATGGAGGACTGTCTACACTATTGCATAATCCACTTTTAGCTTTTCTGAAGGCTTCACCAAAGTTGGTTATCTTCCATGTAAACAAATCACAGTGTTCTTTAGGATACCTTTCACCCTCCCTTCTCTCAATCTGAAGTATAGAAACAGAACATCTTTGATGTAAAAAAAGAATTTACATCTCCGTCCCTAAATGTCTACATAATGGCTCCGAATAAATTCTTAATAACGTTCCAGGCCAGGCCCCAAAGACCTTTTCAATACTGAGGAATATACGCGTGAACCTCCTTTAACAGAGGCGGATCTAGGAGAAGGTTCACAAAGGTGCGCACGCCCCACCCCATAAAAACATACAATTACCTAATGTGCCTTGCTTTTTACTTTTTGATACCCAAGAATGAATCACGTTAGGATTCAAGAACGCGTATAAGTAATTGAAATGTTACGTACTTTTGTCGCTGTAATTGCATACATTTTGAACATGGAAGCAACCAGCTCGAGAGACATTGACTACTCTGGTTATTAAGGATACACTTACCAGATGTTCTTTCCCCTTAGTCTATCACAGATGTCTTTTATTAAAAGTATTAATAATAATATAATCTAACGGATTGCTTGTAAAAGGTGTGCATCACGTGATACAAGTGTATACGTCCTAAGGGTTACTGCCTAATTATGGGCTATATTAGCCTGTTGCAGGCTCTCAGATAGTGGGCAAGACGCGAAAGTGTCCGCACTTTCTCAGTTCAGCGGACGCAACCATCTCGGAGCCTAGAACAGGCTAGGGCTATAAAGGTATGTGCCGCTGTGAAGGGTGTGGTCTTCAAGAAGTTTCGTCTGGGATAGAGATCATGAAGTTTGGGTCAAGAATAATTTTCGGAAAACTGATCAATTGGACTAGAAACACTGGGATTTCACACTTGCAAAATGAAATCGCAAATTTAAATTTACCAGCAACTTAGTTTAATAGCAAATATTAAGGGCGTTGAAAGATGGACTCTAAGATAGGGAAGAATTTTGGGAGTCAAGTCTACTATAGGTTGACAAAATTCAGCTGCACCAAGTCTGGTATATTCTGAGGGTTCCAGGGTCGCAGCGGCACATCCCCACCCAAAAATTTCTAAAGTAAACCCCTCTCCCCCTGGGGTACACGTATCACTGGGAAACTGTTGTATGACGGCTCGCTAGAATGGAAAATATTGTCTTCACCGCACAGCGTGCACAAGTCAGTGGAGCCCCAGTAAACAAAAATAGCTGTATCCATATATTCCGAGGCTAAAGTCTTAACAAGTTTAAAATATATTTATTCTTTTTTTGCCGTTATTTCCGTTTGGCGGGATGTCACCTGGTCAGGTTTAATCTACTATCCCGCAGTAGTCCATGTTTTAGACTGTAATGACCTAAACATTTTCATTTTTATTCATCATACGTTGCAGCAATGTTTAGAGAAAAAAGAATTGCAAAACGTGACTCTTTTGTACAAAATCGTAGGAAACCACACATACCTACAAAAAATTAATACAAAACATGT